GCTACTAAAGGCGATTTGGCAAAGTAACGATGTAATCTCTCTGCCATGTCGATCGGATTTTACTAAAAGACTTTAAATGGCGCGATGTTGTTCAAGATTTAGATATTATTTTGACACAAGAGGTTAATGATTTGTATTGATCTCCTTTTTTCAAACAGTTGTGGCGACAAAGACACCAGTGAAGACCTCGATAACACTTTGTCCTACTCTTGCGCAAATGACAGTATCAAAGAAAGGTTCTCCATTCGGGCCTTTAGGTACTATGGAGCTGAGGCAGGTGCCGAAGTTTACTTCCACTGTGTTCTAAGGGTTTGTCTGGCAGACAAGACCCCTTCAGCGTGCGAGTGCCCTTCCGAAAGTCGGTGTTCTAGTTCCAGGAAAAAGAGGTCAACAGTGGATGAAACGAAAGTGTATCACGTGTCTACCGGGCCTTTTATTTTGGAGAACGACGAGGAAGAGAAAGAAAGTAAGAGGCATTCATTTTTGTGATCGTTAATTGATTGGTTGCAAAGCTACACGTAGAATGCATTGAGATCCCTTTTAAGGGGCAAGGTCACGTCGATCCCAGATCCTACCTGAATTATGCTCTACCACCTGGGCTATCGAGGACTATTCGGCAAGTCTTTCTTTTTTCGTGGGTTTATATACGACGGGCGTCCAGAAAACTGTTAGGAGCAGCAATGTCGAAAGCACCCCAGGTGAAAACCTTTTCTTTTCAAGCTCGGTTGTTGAAAAGAAAAAGAACGAAAGAAAAAACAAACCGGAAGTTTTTATTAAGCAGAGGTTACTCTACAATTAGGTATGAAAACTGTTAGGAGCAGCAATGTCGAAAGCATCCCAAGTGAAAACTTTTTCTTTTAAAGCTTGGTTGTTGAAAAGAAAAAGAACGATAGAAAAAATAAACGGGAAGTTTTTATTCAGCAGAGGTTGCTCTGCAATTTAGTGTTAAAATTCCAGAGCCACTGTTGTCTCAAAGGCCAATCAAGGCGAAGGAAAATATATGTTACAAGCCGATCAAACTGAGTCAAAGTAAAAACGAGCAAATTGAGGAAAAGGGAACAAAATGCAAGTGGACTTGTTGTAGTTAGTTCTAGTTTTGAATCCGAAAGACACGAGTCTTTTAAAGCAATCACAGAGCAAAGTCAGAAGCAAAACTAACACAATCCTGAATGACTTTCGAGATTTAATTGCAAATTGCTCTAATGTCGATTATGTGATTTCTCTTCTCAGCAGGATCAGGTGAAGAAAATGAGTCCAAGTCCCTCTCAAACGGTACAGTGATTACAGTAGCGATCAGCGGTGTTCTCGCCGTAGCAATTATCTGTCTCACGGCTTACCTGATACTGCGCAGCCGCAACAAGCGCAGCCAACGTGGCGACATCCACGTTGCTACATAAGCAGGCGAACTGTAGCAACTTGCCATTAGTAAAAAGCAGCATGTGTATCTTAAGTATAGATTAGTTGTTTCTTTCATACATTTTCAACTCAATAAAGTGATCAGAGAAGAAGAAAACCATGTTAACTTCAGTCAGGCTAGAAACTTCAATTTTGCCGGCCAGACCTGTTTGGGACAAAAGATGAAAATTAGGGGAATTACAAGTGATTATGTAATTTTGTACTTTTTTTTCTTTTTTTATGCTAAAACGAGTTCTGAACAGAAACTGACGCGCCAGTTTTTGTTTTTGTACAAAAAACACAAAACTTTTGTACAAAACCTTTTTAGGATACCCACATGTTGTTACATCATAATATGCTGTTTTGTTATACCATCTTTTTATAATCGAAATAAAAACTAAATTTAAAAAAGTGGCAAATTTGTGTTTGTTCCTATTCATTGGAAAACGCTTGGTAAAAGAGTACTGCACAATCAGAATGGAACTTGCTACTATTTAAGTTTGAGTAGCGATATTATGTCTCAAGGTCTGGTTCATAGCATCTTTTTCTTTTAATTCTAACAGAATCCGATCCGAAGATAAAATTTTATAGAACATTCGTTTTGAAGTTTCGTTTGAACTGTGTTGCGTTGATCTAATTGTCTATCCTTGAAAGACAATTTTATCAACACGGAAGTAGTCGCGTTATGTTTAGCAGTTTCCAGAAGTCGATTAGCAAGTTTTGTAAATGTAACGTGACACTTATTTGTAAAGGGAATGAGTCCTTTTCTACAACGGACGTCAAAGAGAGAGAATAAAACGTTCTGTGTGGAGGTTTTCCACACAATTTAAAGAGAGAGAATAAAACACAAAAGAGAGATATTAAAAAGAAAAGGACGGGCAAAACGGGTCGGAAAAACCAAGGAAAGGTGAACTCAAGGGGGGATACTGGGTAAGAACTAATGTACATCGTTGCAATTCTTAGAGATTAATCTCTTTTACCGGAATATCTTCGACCACGACCATTTAATCTTCTCACTGCCGCTCGAGACATGCACGTTATCCTATCCTGAGGACGAAAAATAAGTTCACCTCTCCATTTTGTCTCTAGTAAAACGCTCCTCCAAGTATTTGAAGGGACGTTAATAGAGAAGAGGAAGGATAAACTATCACAACCTTCCCCCTCTTCACCCTCCCCCCCCCCCTCCAGTGAAGGGGCGTTAATGGAGAGGGGAATGATAAACCGTCACAACCTTCCCCTCTTTCCCCCCTCTCTCCACCTTCCCCAACCCCTCCCTCTCCCCCTAAATACAAAGTCAGAGGTAACTGAATTTTACTATATACTCGCGGACTGGGAGAATCGAAGTAAGTTTAGATGAACAGATTCCTCCGTAGCTTGAATCAAGTCGTGATTGACCGTTTTAATTTGCAGTAAATGAATGAAGTCAATTACCATATCTAAAAACTGACGTAAAGTGTCGTCAGAGTCATAAGCGAAACACATGCCTTTAGCGTATAAACACATGTCCGCCATTTTCCAGCTGTGTAGCCGAACCTTCACGTGATAAGCGCGGTTACGCTCCCAGAATTTCCTTATCTTTTTCAATTCATCATGGCCTCCGAACGAAGTGACGAAGCGGTTTGTGAACAAAACGGGCAACAAAGTAATAGCCAGGTTCAAAATGGAACGGCGGGGAACAACGACCAACAAAACAATCAGCCTCAACAGCAACAGCAGCAGCCACAACAAGAACAAGGTTCTATGTGGAAGAGTCTTCTAATTCGAATGTTCATCTTTTGGCTCATTTCAAATTTGTTTCGTGGTCGACAGCAACAGGGCACAAACACGAACGTGATCGCCTCTACAAACCTGTTTAAAACGGATCAGAAAATAGTGAGTTAATCTTGTCCAATAACTGTCAACTTAGATTGATCAATGGTAGTCAAAAGCTGTTTTTTTCAAACAAATTTGACGAGATTTCTAGAGGAGTCGATGTCGCTCGCGTGCATGCATGAAGCCGGTTGGTACATGATCGGGCATAAATTTTTTTGTGTGTAAGAAGTAAGTGATGTACTTTTTCTTCCAGTATTTCCGGGCGGAGATCTTAGAAAAATTAAAATTATATTCCCATTAATTTAGAATTGTTTGATTACGATTCAAAGTTTCATCCGGTGAGGACTGCCTTGATATGTACAAGTGAGGTTCGCTTCCTAGGAGGGTGGTTTTTAACGAGTGTGGTATCTTCGGGAGTGTTTCATAATTTTCAACTTAGGCCTTAAATGTAGTTATTTCTATTTTTTAGAACGTTTCAAACGAAGTTAGAAAAAGTTTGAAGACCTTAAAAATAACAAATTTAAAATAATTAATCTAATTTAAATCAGCGTTTTCTTTCGCTTACAAAATTAACAATGACTTAAAGAGTGACCAGCTTCTAATTTCTCCTTACAGTAATACTCCAGAATCATTCATTGAGATCATGAGAATGAAGGAAATGATCGCTGAAGAGATATGCTTTGGTTGTTAAACAAATTCTCCTTGTGGGTTTCAAAGAAAATGTATAGATTGGAGTATGAAGAATATTAATGCTGATGTTAGGGCGTAAAGTGGTCTTTTTGTTACTGGTTTTTAATCCCTGTGTTATTATTGATACCTAATTTTTTAATGTTTCAATCTTTGCAGGAACTGTGGGTCTATTTGGCAGAAGAGCAACATTTTACTGATTTCAACAACAGTGAGAAACTTGTTTGGCATGAAAGAGGTCTTAAGTTTGGGAATTGGACAGATGGACCTCAAATGGATGGTTCCCGTCTGTTCAGCACCAATATCCAGGCATCAGAGGTATAAAACCCACTAGGCCAGGACACCCTAAGTGCACCCTCTGTCACGTTTCCCCTACCTTGATGCATTTTGTCTCATTAAGTGTAACAAGTTCACCTTGGCTGTCACTAGTGTCTCCAAAATGATTTGACTTGTTTCTCAACAAAAGAATGAATTCCTCTACTTATTTTGAAATTTAAAACTTTTGAGCACTGCAAAGAGTATTTTCCTGTGACAAAATGAATTATAGCTTTGGAGATAAACTTATCAACACAGGGGTAACTTGTTATATCAAATGAGACAAACTTGTAATGATGGGGTAGATTTTACATTGTGGCAAACCCCCTTTTGTCTTTGGGACAATCAATTTGTGTGCTCTGTTATCAAAACAAGTTGCTGCAAATCAGTCTATCCCACAAATACAAGCTACAATCAGCATCAAAATAAGTTAACACAATATGTTTAATCAGTTCTTTGTTTTATGAGGAGAGTAACACT